GAGAGAGAGAGAGAAATTTGCATCTGAAAAATATCACTGTCATTATGGCTGCAGGCTATGAAAATGACAGATTAATAGAAATGGCATCTTAAAGGAATCGTTAGTATATCAAAAACATAATATGTAGCCCTGGACAACATTGGATCTCATTTCTGATTGGTTCTTGTTGCCTCATTTCAGGGTATGTGGCCAAGTGACCTCTAGTCCTGTTCATTCTGCTCAGTTAAGATGCTAAATTCTGATGGGCAAGTACAAGGCCTCAGCTGTTTCCCCTCCTTTTTTGTTTTTTGTTTTTATCCATTCATCCATCACCTTACATTCAAAGACATAGCCATGCTATTCTGTAAAATCAGTATGTAGAGAGATTTTGTAGCACCTTTGAGACTAACTGAAATAAAGAAGTTGGCAGCATGAGCTTTCGTAGACTTCAATCTACTTCCCCAGATGCATTTAATGCATCTGTAAATGCATCTGAGGAAATATACTGAAGCCTAAAAAAGCTCAGGCTGCCAACTTCTTTATTTCAATTAGTCTCAAAGGTGCTACAATATCTCTCTACATACATACATCACTTTATTCATACATTGCCTTTTTCCCAGACTAGGATTCAAGGTGGCTTACAGTAGACAGCATTTTACAATTAAAAACTTACAGTTTAAAACATACAAAAGTTGAGATTAAAACAGTATTAAAGTAACAACAGATTTAAAAGCATTTAAAATATTATTTAATAAAGTCTAAAAACAGCACCATAAAAAGCCCTTCTCTTGTTAACAATCAGTTCCCCAAGGCTTACTATAATAGAAAGGTCTTTACCCACAATGAAAAAGACAGCAGATGAGGAGCCATCCTAAACTCCCAAAGAAGGGAGTTCCAAAATCTGGGAGTAGCCACAGAGAAAGCCTCCCCCATATTCCCACCAAACACACCTGTGCAGGCAGTAAGACAGAGAGAAGGGACTCCCTTGAAAATCTTAAGAGCTCAAGTGGGCTCATATGGGAAGATACAACCCTTCAGATTGCCTGGACCTGAGTCACATAGGGCTTTATAGGTACTTTGGACCGGACTCAGAAATAGACTGGCAGTCTATGGACTTTATCACAGCCAGCTTTTAAACCACCATTACAGTTCAAAAATGCCTCCTTTGGCAATACTTATTGCATGACACTGTCTCTATCTCATTGCTGCCTTGAGGTCCAAGCATGGTTAAATCACATCTTGTCATTGATGTCAATAGACCCCCAAACACATTGCTGTCCCATTAGTTCTCAAGTGTGATAAGGTCTTCCATGGCATATAAATTTTATATACTATTTTTATTAACAATTCTGTGGCAGTTCTGGTATCATGGTGTCAGTGCCTCCCCCTGTCCCTCCCCTAGTTATTTCCAGGCAGGCTTTTTTCACTTTTTCAAAACCTTTCTTTTATTTTCTTTTTACTTTTTTTAAAAAAATATATTAGCATACATCCAGAATTGTGTTTTAAAAAACATTTTTGAAAAAAACCTGAAAGGCACACTGGGTAAGGCATAGGGCAGGGAAGTGGGATTAGGGAGGAGTGTGGAACAGAGTGCAAGGCCTGAGTTGCACTATTGTGAAGATGTGTGAGAGGGAATGCTTCCAAACCAGTATGTATCCTGTTTGTCTTACTAGCACAATTGCAGTGAGAATGAGGCTTATGTGATAAACTCCTATATTTTTAATTGGCCTTGGACCAGAGCAGTAGTTCTCAAATGAGTGGCTGGTACACCCAGGAGGGCATGAGAGTTGCTCAAGGGGGTGCAAGAACTCAAGGCTCTGATCCCTTCTCCTCCTTCGCATCCCAAACTTTTTATGTGTAAATTT